ATGGTCACTGAGGAGCATCAGCGATGGTTATCCAAGTTATTAGGCTATGACTTTGAGATCCAGTATAGGCCGGGCTTGGAAAATAAAGCAGCTGATGCTTTATCTAGATGTGTGGGGGAACTCCAAGAGTTAGTTGTATCAGTGTCACTGATGGTAGACTGGGGAGCCATCAAAGAGGAGAGCATGATGAATGAAGAGCTAAAGAAAATCAGGGATAATCTTAGGAAAGACAAGAGTAGCCATCCAGGTTATTACATTGAAGGGGAGAGGTTGTTGTATCAAGGAAGGTTTGTAGTGCCAAGAACCTCAATACATATTCCTCAGCTGTTACAAGAGTTCCATGGCAGTGCAGTGGGAGGTCATTCAGGGATACATAAGACATATAGAAGGCTGGCATCTGAGCTTTACTTGAAGGTGATGCATAAAGATGTAGAGGAAATGGTGGCAAGATGTGAAGTATGCCAAAGGAACAAATACATGTCTATGGCTCCAGGGGGACTACTGCAACCCTTGGCACTTCCCAATAGAGTATGGGAGGAAGTGTCCATGGACTTCATCGACGGCTTACCGCGATCAGAGGGATACACTGTTATCCTGGTGGTGGTAGATAGACTCAGTAAGTATGCACATTTTATCCTATTGCGACACCCCTACACTGCGGTGTCAGTGGCAGCAGCATTTATCAGGGAAGTGGTTAGACTACATGGGATCCCTGAATCGATAATGTCAGATCGAGACAAGGTGTTTCTCAGCCAATTTTGGAGGGAATTGTTCCGGCTGCATGAGACTATCCTCAACAGAAGCACCGCCTACCATCCACAAACAGATGGGCAGATAGAGGTAGTAAATCGAAGTCTGGAGACTTATTTGAGGTGTTTCGCTTCTGAAACACCACGGATGTGGGCGAAGTGGTTGCCTTGGGAGGAGTATTGGTGTAATACCTCGCATCATTCTGCCTCTTCAGGGATCCCATGTAGTCTAACCACTTCCCTGGGTAAAAAGAAAAAAAAAACATCTTCTAGAAGTCATCGGGGCTCTCATCTTTCAGAATCTAATGCCAAAAAAGAAACTGGAGAGAAGAAGTCCTACCTGTCACATACATGATCAATAAAATACCCTCAAAGAAGATTGGCTTCAAAAATCATAAATTATCTAGCTTCCCTATAAATAACTTTCTCTTAAAAATTTCTCCAAAAATCTTTGGATGTATGGCCTATTCCAATAGAAACAATACAAAGAAAATCTGATCCTATAACTCTCAATTATGCCCTCATTGGGTATTCCTCCACTCAAAAATGGTGCAAGTATAACTATCATCCTATCATTAAAAAATTTCTTACTTTAAAAAAAAAAATTGTAGCAGTTTATGGGAAGCAAAGTTTTTTCAATCAAGCTCATCTTCAGAGGGATAACTCTCAAATGAAATATAAGTTTGATAAAATATTTACCTATCATCTTGGCATTCCTATACACAAACTTCAAAAGGTCCAGACACTCTGCCCCTTTAAGCATAACCAAAATCTTAAATAAGGTAGAAACTCTAGCCATTCTTAGATAACAATGATCAACTCATTATTACACATTCTCCTATGTATCTGATAAGCCGCCGGCTCAATAGGGGCCGGCTGGACCGGTCCAGGTCTATTCATGCCGGAACAGATCAAAGGGTGGTCCAAACTTGTATTAATTGCTATTAGGAGGGAAAATTTGAATTTGGGGGGCTGTTTTAGGAAGTTTATTATTGTCCTTTATGATTAATTTGTTTAATTAGGAGATGGGGGGAAGAGGGAATTGGGGATCATCTTGAATTTGAATGACAATTGGAGATCTAGAGTTTCTTGTGATTTGGGCTCTTGGCGATTGCGGAGATTGGAGAGTTGTTCTTCCTCTCGGATTGAAGAACAAGTATATCTTTGCTAATTTACTTCATCGTCTAGTGAAATCCAAGTTTCTTCTTGAGTTTTCTCTTAGATTTCCTTGTGGTTTTGCTGTTTTTCTGCTGTGGACAGCAGATTTACTGCTATTTGCTCTTCGTTTGGTGTTAGGATTGCTGAGAACTCAAGTTTACCCTTAGGGTTACTTGCGAACTCAAGTATTTCCTATCATCTTCCTTCCAAAAATTACCAAGTCTCATATCCCTTTACACCAACCCATAGTCATATATAGGGTCCCTTATGAGATAAACACCTACAACAACAACATCAAGCCTTTATCCTACTACGTGGGGTCGGCTACATGAATTCTTTTTCTTCATTATGTTCTCTTCAGAGTCAATCCTCATTTAAATCTAAGATAAATACCTAACGGGAAAAAATGATTTATCAAATTTATTGATGATCAAACGCAAGTGTGTTCGTATATCTATCAATTGAAAGAAACATCTGAAACAGAACAAGTTTTCAAAAATGTTCATCCAGGATTAAAACACAATTTGATGCAAAAATAAAAACTTTGAGTACATATAACGGAACAGAATATTTTACATCCACTCAAGAAATTTTTTTACAATGGAATCTCACACCAAGATTCTTGCATAATAACCCCTCAAAAAATAGGATTGCTAAATAAAGAAGCATCACCTTCTAGTAATTAGAGCAACGTGCTTACAAATGATATATTATAGGGAGATGATGTTCTTACTGTATAATATTAAATAAACAAAATAACAATTCAGTTCCTCAATTTTGGCACACCTTTAAACACTCCACGCACATGATCTATCTATGTAATCTCATTAAAGGTCTTTGGTTGTACTTCCTTTGCTCACATTCATGATAACCACAGAAGTAAACTAAACCATAAATCCCAAAAATCCGTTTATCTAGAATACTCTCTAACTAAAAAAGAATACAAGTGTTACATACCAAAAACATGCAAACATCACAGTTATATGTCTATGACATTTCGAACATCAACATTCTCAATAAAAATTTCTATCTATGGGGAAATGATTTTTTTAATGGTGAGTTAGAGGAAGAAATCTATATGAAGACATATAACTAAAGAACTAAAAAATTTTAAAACTAGAATGAAAATTATTGAAAGGAAACTCATAGAAGTGGTAATATTAAAATAGGGAAATTACTTATTGATGTGAAACAACCAATGGAATTGCAGGGTATTATTAAGAAATTTGTTTCCGTAATGACATTATAACATTAATGATTCACTAAGTTAGGATTTCCAATTTTCGTAGTTATTGACTTGCTTCTAGCATGTGGTTACACATTAGATTAACAGAGCGATCCCACATAATGACAAGAAAATAGTAAACAAACATGCAATTAACAATAATCCACTACTTAACAATTAGAACTTTCACCTTAAAGTTTCCCTCTCGTCGTTCTTTGGAAGTAGGTTTAGCGGAGGACAAAAGTAAGCAAGCCCAATGATGCCACTGCAAGACAGAGGATGCCAGAGGTTTTGATCAACGGAGAGTTGGTCGGAGTTGGAGAGATCGGTGGTCGTCCAGCGATCTTCCACGATTGTGTAGGTTGTTGCTCTTCGATGACGTCCACCAAAGTAAAAAGAATGCGCTCCACGTATTCTTCGACGGTGCCTTCGGACCCAAATCCGGGATCGAAGAACGGTGATTGAATGATGTCGACTTCCTCTTGAGATACGTAAAGGAATCCGTGATCAACTTCCGAATCCGCCATGCATTCTTGTCGGGAGATGAAGGAGCACCAATGTAGAGAAGAGGGAGAGGAGAGGTGGAAGTGGCAGTTTGGGAAGGGGGCTTGGCCGTGAGCTAGAGGGAGAGGGAGGAGGTGAACTGTGAGGGTGGTCGGGTTGGGGCTCGGGTGAGGATGATTAGGGGCGGGTGGAAGAGGTGGAGGGAGGGAATAATCCTGAATTTAATTTCATTTTTCCAAATAAAGAGATGATTAATTTCAAATTCAGAATTTGAAATTTGAAATTAGGCTAGGAGGGAAGGGGAATTAAAGTGTATTAATGGGAGAGATAGATAGAGAGAGGGTAGGGTGGCCGGCCATGTAAGGAGGTGAGAGAGGCTTGGGATTTAAGTAAGTGGGCCCATGTTTTAATAATAACTCTAATCAAATCTGAATTTTAATTTCAGATTTGATTATATTATAGGTAACTTCCCAAATTGGTTTAATATGAGAGGGAAAAGAATTTGAATTTCAAAATAGGCTTTAATCCCCTTAATTGACTATCCTAATTGGAGGACTAATTAGAAAAGTGAATTAATCAAGAGGGATTTGAAATTCAAAAGCGGGAGGATCAAGGGGGGCCGGCGGCAAGGCTGGAACCAAGGGGCCAACGGTGGAATTCTGGGGCCGATGGAGGAAGTTGGGTGGAAGGGAAATTTTGGTTAGGTAGAGAAGGGAAAGATAGGTTTAGAAAATCGGGAAAATCCGGAGCTACAAACCTCAAGCACCACCTCCAATAGAACTCACAAAGAGATCTACAAGCACCACCTCCTCAAGAACTCACAAAGAGATCTTGGAAAGTTTTACGAACTCACAAAGAGATCAATAATAGAAAATTTCATTCATTAACATTAGCAAATAATACAAAGACTAGGCCTTCATATATAGGCCTCCAAAGCATAAAATGTAAAAGACACAAATGCCCTCATGCTACAACATGAAACAAATCCCTCATAGGGGTACAAATGGAAAACTAAAAAATAAATAAAAGAAATGCATTGTATAAATAAAAACTATGAATCGTAGCCGTCGATCTACGATCCTGTCGATGTCGAAATGTACGGTGGATGTCCTCATCACTCACGTAACAAAATCTTCCTAATTGCAAAACTAACATTCAAAAACTTTTTATTTATATTAAAATTTTTCTTGTTTAATCAAATTGTAAATTATCTGGTCATGGCATGTGCATGCATGAGTTTGCTAGTTCATTCTTTTACTTGGGTGTTAGATATGTAAATAAAGTTTATTTTAGTGGTATTTGCATAATTTTCTTTATTAAAAAATAAGTAAAAGTCATCAATAATGAGGAACAAATGATCTTACAGTTGTTGCATGGATTCCAAAAATGCCAGTATTATTGTAGATACTGTTGAAAGCTGAGAACGACTGAATCTGTTGAAATTCATTTAACACACGGAGATCTGTATATTAACCAACCAATTTTGTTAGGAGAAACAAAAATCAATTATATTCTTAATAGATAATCTTAGTATAAACCTGACCACGCATGTCAATATAATAAAAAAGGTGTAGAATGAAGCTTGCAAAAAGATAACAGCAAACTATCGCCAAAGCAGGTCAAGAAGCGCAGGCCAAGATAGGATTAACTCACATAGACGAGAGTACATTCCCTTTCCAGGGCCTCCAGCGGAGAAAGAGCCACCACCTCCCATAAGCATCTGCAAAACAAAAAGGAATATTGAAATTGGCTCACCTATTCCTACAAAGATCAATAAGCTCTAAAGTGAATCGTATAATCCACATGATGCTAGGCATTAAATTCTGCAGTAAACTGCTTGGACTAAAACTCATTAATACCTGAAGCACTGTTACAGCCATGGCATCCTTTTCCTTATGCCAGCCACCAGGAACTTCAAAAGCAAGAGCCAGATGTGTACTCTGTTATAAGATAGAAAGTTTGACAAAATATAAAAATCAAATGGTCTGAAGGAATAACAAAAAAATGTAAATGAAATAACAAATTATCATATGCACCGCAGAATCAGCTTGACAACGATAATCCCCTCCTACATAAACAGATTTTGGCTCCTCTGGTTGATGAACCTTGGGAAGATCAGATAGAAGTGGTTCAGCAAGTTTAACTAATTCCTCATGTTCCACACCGGATGCTGCAAGTACCATTCTTGGAGCAGTATAGTTTTCCTAGTATTCAGAAGGAATAAAATTAATACAAAAGGTGGTGAGCATAAAACAAATGGGAGAACAAACTAAACAAAATGTAACACAAAAAAAAGGAAGTACAAACTTACAGCAACAAATTGTTCCAGAGCACTGCTATTTAAATAATTCAAGGATGATTCAGAAGCCAAAAGAGGAATCGCCAATGCACCACTATATCCGGCAGAGTGTATAGCCTCCAAAAGCAGACCCTGTGGGTTGTTGGAAGCTTCTGCTATTTCTGACTTTACTCTCTTTACCTGTACAGTAACAAGTAATAGAGTAACACACAAGTGACTAACAGAAAGGTATTACTAGGCTTATCATGGATGTGATACCTGTTCATTAACCTCCCATTCAAGGAAAACAGGATTTCTGACACTATCAATGAGCACCTCAACCATTTCTGGCATGAATGTTTTTAAAGCATCATAAGTATATCCCATTTGTTCCCGGGAAGCCGAAGCACTGACATTTCCTCCAATTGCTTCGACTTCACGCACAATGCGCAGATGGCTCCTGTTAGTTGTGCTCTTGAAGGCCAAACGTTCCAGCAAGTGTGTAACTCCAAAGGAATTTGGTGATTCATACACTGATCCACAGTCAACATACAGTCCTACTGAAGCAGCTGGACTCTGACAATTAAACAAAATAAGTTGATAAAATGATAGCTATCAGACGCATTCAGTACAAGCTGCTGAAAAACAACAGTAAACTCATACTGGAGAAGTTTCTGAGGCAATTTTAAAGCCATTTGGAAGGGTTGTGATCTTTGTCTTGCCAGGCTCCACATAATCAGGAAGATGAGGCGGTAGTGCAACAACTGGCAGTGGGTAATCTAGAGGGGGGAGCTGATTAGACTTTTCACCAGTAAGCCAGCTAAAGAAGCCACTTGAGGACCTTTTTTCTACTTCTGTACTTGCAAATCTCTCAGAAGCTCGAAAAACCCGGTTCCCTTGTCCATGTTGCTGATATTAACGAATATAATGAATCAGATGTTGGTATAACCCAGTGTGTTCAGCAACACTAAATCAATTGGTGTCCCAACAGAAATTAAGCATAGAAAATTTTGCTGTACAAAGATATATGGCAATATGAGATAGCGGATGCCCTAAATCTCTTATACAAGGATAAAATCACGACTAATAACCTCAAACTTCAGTTGTTGATTAAGGATAAAGTTATACCTGACAAACTGAATTTTAGCTTCTTAAGGAAACACTTACAAGGGAAATCTTGATCGAGATGAACTTGGTATGATAATTGCAGGCCACACAAATACATTTTGCTTCCTCAAAGGTAAAAAAGACAGCCTTCAAATGCAATATTAAAAGCTTTTCCAAAGAAAATATTCGCTTTCTACAAGGTTTATCCAAGGCTATAGAATGAGCCTGACACATTCATTGCCACATCAATCCGAAGTTTTTTACAACAATCTAGTGAAAACTTATATCTTCTCTCTCTAATCTCTCTTTCTACCTCTATATTCTCTTTCTCTTTTTGGTTTGGTCCATACTTATTAGTAAAATTTTGATATCACTCATAGATAGATTTGAATCTAAGAATGTCCAAACATTATTTTATAATGTATCAACCTCAAGAATCACAAAAAAGGACTTAAAAAGGAGGGGAAAACAAATTAAAAACATCCATAAAACAGCTCTAACAACCAAAAAAATGATTTATCAGAACATGCTCACAACTATAAAACTGTACATGAAGTGAAGACGCATTACTTTGCATACCAATTCAAAAAACTAGAAGAAAATTCAAATGAATCTCTCTATATTGTACTGTAGGAAACTCTGAATATGACAAAGTAGGAATATTTTTTATAATTGCTTGTTAATGTGAATCCTAGTTTGTTCAATGTAATTCGCCATGCATTGTTCACTTGTGTGCTCGTACCGTGGCTAAACATAAAAGCCATCAATTGGGACAAGGGGGAAAAATAATGATTTAAAAAACATGAATGACTTAAAGACGCTATAACAGAGAGAATAACAGAAACAAAATGAAGAGGAAAGGGAAAAAACATTCTAAGCATTATTGTGATAATTTCAGATAGAAAGTAGAGAACGGAACTCATTTTTTTAATCAATATAAACCAATCACAAAACAAAGCCTATCACTCATCAAGCTCACGATTTAAGAAGATGGCGAAAATGTCTAAAAATCACTGGTACTGACATTACAACACGAAACCTAAACAGAACTTCCAAAAATGGATCTATAACAGAAATGTAGAGTTAGGGTTTCGCGATAGCTGGCCTTGAGAACTCTGAGGTTGGAAATGGCAGCGCGATACATGTTCGTAGCCGCGACAACAGAAGATCAAAACCTTCGAATTTGCCCCTGTTCGCGAATGAATCTCGGACGGAAAAGCGAGAAGGTAACCTAGATGGACCAGCGCCTGCTTCCGCCAATCGGTTCCGCTGCTCCGCGTGTAAATTTAAAATATAAATAACTGTGAAACCCTGAGAATATCAACCGTTTGATCAACGTAATCCTGCGACGGCTCCATACTCGCTTTTATTTATTAAACAGGGTTGCGGAGCGTCACAACCGAAAAGTCTTCGCGGTGTTGACGGAGGACTCCGGTTGCAAGCGTTGCGTTCATGATTTTGTAAAGAGAATTGTGCTCCATGCATCCAGCGTAAATAGGTTGTAAGTTTGTTTGTAAGTAGGCTCGAGATTAGGAGCCTAGTTTATTGAACCACGAGTTTGAGTTCAAGTTCGAGTTCGTAGATTAAATGAGCTCGAGCTTAGTTTCGCTCAGCTCAAAAGCTCGTTGAGCTGCTCGATTAACTTAACGTATATTTAAAAATTCAATAAAATTAGTATTATGCGATATATTTTAATATTTTTAAATTAATTTTTTATTAAAATAAAAATTCAAGAAAAACATAAATTTTTTTAATTTAAAACTAAGAAATCGAGGTAAACTCGAGCTTTCCAAACGAGCTCGACAACGAGTCAAGCTCGACCTTAGCTAGAACTAAATAATCTTAGCTCGATTCTTCAGGTTTTTTTATTAGAATGGACGTTATTGATCCATTTGATAAGTTTTTTTTTTTCATCATGATTCAATATTTGAATGCAATAATGAATTGCATTGAGCAACTTACAATGACTAATGTCATTAGCAATTTTAATTCTAACAACTGAGATTGGATTAAATGGGAAAATTTTATGAGCAAGTATAAATATAATGTATTGGGTGCCCTAAGTCATTCATGTCACATCCTAAAATCTAATTTAAACAAAGTTGCATCTTTTATATTTTTTTATAATATTAAGTAGAGTTATCTAATATCTTTTAATAATAAACCATGAGCAAAAATAAATATATTAATCAAAATATCAATATACATATGAGTTAATTACCCAAAGATTAATATGTCATACTTTAAAATTATGGGAGCGAGTTATGGAGAATAGGTTACGGCGTGATACTAATGTTTCTCAAAATCAATTTGGATTCATGACGGGTAGGTATACTATGGAAGCAATACATTTTATTGAGAGGTATGATGGAGAAATATATAGAGAATAAGGAGGATCTACATATGATATTTATTGATTTAGAGAAAGCATATGATAAAGTTCTAAAAGAAGTGCTATGGAGAGTTTTTGAAAAGAAATGAGTTAATAACGCTTATATTCAAATCATTAAATATATGTATGCATGAGCTATTACTTGTGTTCAAACACAAGGTGGTTAGACCAAGTATGTTCATAATTCGGTTGGATTACATCAAGGATGAGCCTTAAGTCCATATCTTTTTGCTTTAGTCATGGATGTTCTCACTAGACATTTGCAAGAGGATGTACCTTGGTGTATGCTTTTTGCTGATGAAATTCTTCTTGTTGATAAGACTAGAGAGGGAGTTCAAGGTAAACATGAATTATGGAATGTCAACCTTAGAGTCTAAAGGTTTTCACTTGAGTAGATCTAAAACTGAATATATGGAGTATAATTTTAGTAGGAATAGTCCTAGTGAGGGGATTGTGACTTTGGGCAATCAAGTCATTAATAAGAGTACACGTTTTAGATATCTTGGTTCTATTGTTCATGGTGATGGTGAAATGGAAGGAGATATTATCAGTAGAATTCAAGTTAGATGGTTGAAGTAGAGGAATGCATCGGGCTTATTGTGCGATAGAAAAGTCCCCCTCAAACTTAAGGGAAAATTCTATAAGATGGTGGTGAGACTTGCAATGTTGTATGGTGCCTCATGATGGCCATTAAAAGAGAAGCATAATACTAAGTTAAGTGTTGTAGAGATGAGGATGCTTAGGTGGATGAGTGGCTTGACCCTTAAAGATAAGATATGAAATGAGCATATAAGTGAAAAGGTTGGAGTAGCTCCAATGGAAGATAAGATTAGAGCGAGTCACCTTAGATGGTTTGGTCACATTAAACGGAGGCCTTCCGATGTCCCGATTAGAAAATTTGAGGTATTAGATTCGACTTATGTTAAGAAAGGTAGAGGTAGACCTAAAAAGACTTGGTTAGAAAAAATTACAAATGATCTTTTTTATTAGATTTAAATGAAAATTCGACTTTTAACCGGACACAATGACGAAAAAGGATTCATGTAGCCGACCCCACATAGTGGGACAAAGGCTTGATATTATTGTTGTTGTTATTGTGTACACTAGCAAGGAGTTATATAAATATAATACGTTGTCAACCCACTTATGGACTCAAAAGAATAACGAAAAGGCAAAACTACAGTAAAACCTGAAGAATCACATATTTGATCAATCTCATACATCCAAACATTTTCCCTAACTTGAAATCATTAAATCATTTATATTGAGCTTATAAAGCCTAGCAGGCAACTAAGACCCTACTACTTAATTCAAAGCATGGAAAAGAAAAAGTGTGCATGAAATCATTCAGTTAATAACAGTATCAATCAATATGATCATGAATCTACGTAGGTGCAGAAATAATAAAATGCATACGGTAACTAATAAAGCGTATAAATTGTTACAGTACATAAATCAAAACAGTAAGGATGTAGATCATCATTCTTAAACTAAACGTCATAGCAATGTTATCCAAGCATAAGGAAATCATAAGAATTAGTAAAATAGAAGTATTTTATGAAAATTGTTAGAAATCTATGACAATGCAGTACTATCATGGATTGTATAGAAGTGCACATGTTGTTAAGTTATTTTGCATCAGTCTCGAATCAGTATCTTAATCACATTCTTAATAACAGTAAATTGATAATGATGAATAACTAATAGTAAATTAGTAATAGTAAATCAGAGCCTTATGTACATGTTTAAGCAATCATATTAAACACGTAAGGAATTTTGAGTTGAGTGGTATTTTTTTAATAAGTTTTCTTAATTCAGTGTTCATGTGGCTTTCAATAATCAGAGTCGTCATTGTTGCCCGTCAGCATAGTAGTTTCTCTTTATAACTTTGAATTAGTAAATCCTGTGAATCAGTAGATGATATCACAACAAATCATAATATGTGTAGGAAAGCATGTCAGCATACCATTCTTATACATATAAAATAGTCTCCAACCAATCTAAATAATAAACAAGCCCTTCTTGTTCTACACACATAATATTATAAAAGTAATAACAACCAATTATTACTCATTCACGTGTTCATACTCATTCACAATGATTGCATTAATAATATAATTGCATCAAAATACCTAAATCACTATTTTTACTCAAATAGTATAAAATATAATAAATAATGTTTCAACCATCGAAAATACAAAATATATTCAGTTCATAGTGTCGCGGTTCTCCAACCCGTTGGCGTAATGATGCATCCTCATTCCATAGTTATAATAGAACAGAGAGCATTGACATCACTATTTTGTTTGAATAAGTTTGTTTGTTTTTAATTTTTTATATATATATATCATTATGGATATAAAGAAATATTTTGAAAGAAAGATTGGAGTAATTGAGCAAGATGTAACTTGTGATGATACTAATACACAATCCAAATATCTTCGGGTGAAATTTTTTGATGACATATCAGTTAAACCTGGATTACGAAGAATTTTTTTTTCCAAATCATAGGAATACATAAAGACGAACATACTTACTAAGAGGGCATTGTCAAACTCGGGATCATGAATTTCCCTAAACATAGATTAGAAATAAATTGCTTAGGTTTAATCCTAGATTTTTTTAATGATTATAAAGCATAGTTAGAGTATAGTCTCATCAAAGACGCAGCTTATTGCTTATTTAGTTATCTTTATTGATTAGACATAGGAGAACAAGCAAGTGGTGATAGCTTCGACACAAATGGATTTAAAAATTAAAAAAAAATGATTGATACGTTATCATGAAATTATCTTGGTTGGGCATGAATCTCGATGCAGAACCCAAATCGGAAACTTCAAAAATTAAATTCAGAAGCACCTGAACTCCGATTTCAGCAAACTTACAGTCAAATTGAGCGTCTCGGAAATACGAACCCAACGACACCAAATTCAACCCAATCCGAGCCCAAATGGGTCCGAATCAAGGACCCGAACCGATGTTGGAAGGTTCAAACCGCAATTTGAGTTACCAAACGGTCTCCGATTTTAACGAGCTTATACTCGAATCGAGCTGCTCAATGAGACAAATCCAACGAGCCCAAGATCACTGAATTGCGACATCATTAAGGTCTTTAAATGTCCAACGAACGGTGCACAATCGAATGGTTCAATATCGGTCGTCCATTCAAACCACTCTCAATTCGCCCATGATCTCACACCTATTTACAAGCCATGTCACTCCAGAAAAACTATAAATATATCCCCCATTCTACACAAAGAGGACTCAAGTGAAGAGAGAGAAGAAGAAGAGGAGAAAGGGGAAAAGGAGAATCCTCTCCTCCTTGACCACCATCGGAGTTTGTCCTGCCTCCCGAACACGTCGGGATTCTGCGTGATATTCGGGAGAACGCAGGAATTCTGCCCAACTTCCACGTGATGCTGAAATTCTTCTCAATTTACAACAGAGTTCCCTCCTGACGCCGAAACTCCGCCCAAGTGAAGCCGGAGCTCTCCTCTGCCACCAACAGACGTCGGACTTCTACCCGGCGTCGGACCTTCACTCTTCGCCAAGTTTCTACCCGACGCTGGACTTCTACCGGTTATCGGACTTCGCTGGATGTCTATGCAAAGATGCATTTCATTTCATTGTTGGACTTCTACCTGACGCTGTCCTTTTGATCTTCGTCGTCAGACTACAGTCCTTCAGACCTCCGTTGCCCGTCGACTACGGTCCTCCTGACTTATGACGCCCGCCGACTACAGTCTTTCCAACCTCCGTTGCCCGCCGACTACGGTCCTCCTGGCTTACGTCGCCCGCCGACTACAGTCCTTCCGACCCCCGTCGCCCGTCGACTACGGTCCTCCTAACCTATGTCGACCGCTGACTACAGTCTTTCCGACCTCCGT